ACAAATGCTCGAATAAACATCAAAATTTCCAAAATTAAGAAATTTAAAGCGTGTAAGTTTCTTACCAACATTGTTTTACGAGTGGGAATGGCGACACATCTGCCAAACACAGCCCGAAAGATTTTAAACCCTACACCGTTAGATGACAACGATAATGAAGACATGGATGGAACAGAAGAAGCTGAATTAAGAGCTGATTCATTTGGTGTGAGTCTGTGAGAGGGGTGAACGAATGGCTGATCAACGACTGAAATCTTTTACTAGAAAGAGAACAAGATTTCTGCATAATTTTATTTTGGAAATGAAAAGACTTTCATCTAAAAAATTTGGATCTTTTTATTTTTTTTTAAATGGATTTAAAAATATTAGAAAAATTACTTAAAATCAAATTGGGGTGATTTATACCCAATGACATTGCAGCACAGATGGCAGAGGGGCTTGTCATGAATGCTGAGGGTTCTTTTTGCTTCTCATTCATGCCTTCCAAAATATAATCGGTAAATTACATCTAAAACAACTAATCTATTTAGATTTTACATTTTAGACTTTAAGCTTTTCTCCGACTTCAACTTAGTCCTTGATTTCCATAATTTTCTTTCAATTAAAATTTTCAAATTTAATACTTATCGATTTAGTCCCTTTCAACTTCTTTAAATTCACAAAATAATTTTTGAATTTTCAAAAGTTACAATTCTAGTCTCTAAATACACTAAGTAAGAATTTATCCCAACAATTAGGGGTGATAATTATGGTAGAACTTTGATTGTATCAAATTATATACTCACGATGTTGAGATCGTGATGATCTTAAGTATAAGGATTATACATAGTTATTACTATAAGGTAATATTAAATACATTATTACAATCATCTCATGATTAGTCTTTGAACATAATATAACGCATCATGCACATGAGATCTTAACACCATGCTTATAGATCTTAGTGATAATCCATAAGGTCTTAATATTATACATAACATGTCTTGCTGATAGTTACGAGGTCTTAACATCATGCGTAAAAGATCTTATTAATATCCAATGAAGTCTTAATATAATGAGGTCTTAATGATTACTCGGTAGGTCTTAATATCATGTCTAGGAAGTTTTATTAATGTCTAAAATATTTTATCATCATATCTAAGATTCGAGATATTTTTTTATACAAAAAGGTTTAGGTCAAGAGTGATTCCTCCAATCTAAGGTCAAGGAATACCTAAGATCCAATTAAGATTTACATATAAATTTACATATTACCTACCAAGAGTGACACTGGTAAGATTTGAATTTGACATTTCATACTCAAATTCCTGAATGCCAACCACTTGTACCAACATTCATTAGCAGATTCAGACATATTTAATAGAATACAATCCTTATATGAAATTTCTTTTTCTTTTTATTTTTTTTTAAAAGTTGTTCTTATAAGGTATAAAAATACACTTATATAGTACATAAGTTATATGAAGTATGCCACGTAAATACCCAAACACAGAAAAAAATAATCCAACTTAACATGCCACCAAAACAAAATAAACGAACGAAGAAAATAGTTTAATTATTCAAAAGATAAGGTAACCACCCAAGCTTAATAACTGTGTATATTTCCAATGAATGGTACCTCAACAGACAAAACAACACTAATTGGTCCTCTCCCATAAGCCTTATAATTAATTCTCCGCCCAATTGTTACTAAATTCGAGTGACACAACTTATAATGGACTTCATTTTAAGATTAATACATCAACAAAACGTTATTTTTCCTTATAATAGAATAATAGAAGACCAGATTAAATATAACCATAACATGATTTTTTGTCAAATTATTGTCTTTCTAATATTCTTCACGCTTCCTACTAAATTTGTCTTAATTAAGGATGAGTTTATCACGTTCGACGAATAATGTTAAGCACCACTAACGATGAGTACCATTAATTTAATTTATAAAAAGTTAAAATTCTAAAGGATTTAACGTACAATAAAAAATTAGTTAAAAATTTAAAGCTAAATTATTTAAAATAAAATATTAATTATATTATTTCCATAATTTGTTGGGTAAACTATACTAGTGACCTAACTATAGTATATTTTTATTTTAACCATCATTTTTGAATTTTTATCAATTAGGTCACCCAACTATTTTAGTGTATTTAATCAGTCCACTTGTCGTTAACATTTAACGGAAGTACTGACATGATAGTTAATAAAATTAATATAATTATATATTTGGTCATTGTTACTTATACATTATAACAATTTGGTCCTAATTTTAATAAATTAAAATAAATTTAATGTTCGAATCAAATTATACCACATGTCATTATGCCACATACACATGTCGCTACAATTTGCTTCATAATAATATAATTACTACTATTTGTTTCACTTTTTACTATCAGGAGTGGAGTCTATCGATTATGATTCCAAAGGAGTAATTATATTGTTATTTTAACTCCAAATTTAATTCGAATCATAAAATTACCACTGATTTTTTGCAGTTTTTCCTTTGCTTTTGTTTGACAATTTGTTGCAATAGTTTATAATCACTTTCAAAGTACAAGTCTACAAAATAATTAAAAACACGAATAAAATAAAAATATAAAAATAATATTTATAAAATTGAAATAGACATATTAGTGAGTTAATGATAAATACACTTGACTACTTTAGATTGTTCCATTGAATTAAACTTAAGAGGGTGAGAACTTTGAAATATATAAGAAAAACAAAAAATAAAATAATAATTAAATTAAAATAAATTAAATCCTCCAATTGGGTGGTGACATGTGTCATGATATTTTGCAATAGTGACACGTGACACGATCCGATTCAAAATTTATTTTAATTAATGAAAATTAGTACCAAATTGATAGAATATATAAGTAACAATGACCAAATGTGTAGTCATACCAATTTTATTAACTGTTACGTCAGCACTATCGTTAAATGTTAATGACAAGTGACATGATTAAATACATTTAAATAGTTGGGTGACTTGATTGACAAAAATTTAAAAATAGTGATCAAAATGAAAATGAGCTATAATTAGATAGTTATTGGTATAGTTTACTTAAAAAGGATTATGAAAAAATAATGTAATTAATATTTTATTTTAAATAACTTATCTTTAAATTTTTAAATAATAATTATTCGTTGAATCATTTATACTTTTATAAATTAAATTAATAATATTTATAAGTAGTGTTCAAGGTCGAGTTTAGTAGAAATTTCCCTCAAGTAATTATAAAAAATGTTTCAATTTTGTAGTTTAAAAATAAAGTTTTGCGGCTCCAAAAAAGAACGCTTTAATTGTTTAATTGTGTCTCTTTCCGTCGTGCAAAAAACCTGATTGATATCTTTAGGTGGCGTTTGATTGATATGAATTATTTGAAATTGGTGGAAATTAGATTCTAATTTCACTACTTTCTCATGTTTGGTTTAAGTTTTCTAAGGGAATTGAAATCCCTCATTGCTTCAACTTTCCATCAAATGGGGGAAAGTGAATTCCATCCAAGAATAGATAGAATTCAATTCCGTTGTTGGAGGGAATTGAAATATGACCATATTATCCTCATCAATCTTTTGGTAACTTATTCATATATTGAATAAAAAAAATTTTGTATTATTTCGAGTCGGGTCGGGTTTCTAATTCATATATTCGGGTCGGGTCGGGTGAAACTTTATTTTGGTCGGGTCGAGTCGGGTCGGTTTTTTTAAGTGTGAAATTCGAGTTGGGTCGAGTTCGGGTTTAGGGTGAAAAATACCCGACCCTAAAATATATATAATTTTACCTTATATATTTAGAAATAATTACAATAATACCCCTCTATATATATAAATTTTTTCAATTAAGTCACTGTTTTTATTTAATAAAAATAAATTTTTTATTATTTCGGGTCGGGTCGGATTTCTAATTCATATATTCAGGTCGGTTTGGGTGAAACTTTATTTTGTTCGGGTCAGGTCGGGTTTTTTAAGTGTGATATTCGGGTCGAGTCGGGTCGGGTTTTTTTAAGTGTGATATTCGGGTCGGGTCGGGTTCGGGTTTAGAGTGAAAAAACCGAACCCGACCCGAAAAAAATATATATAATTTTACCTTATATATTTAGGAATAATTACAATAATACCACTCTATATATAATTTTTTTCAATTAAGTCAATATTTTTATTGAATAAAAATAATTTTTTTATTATTTCGTGTCGTGTTGGGTCGGGTTTCTAATTCATATATTGAATAAAAATAGTTTTTGGTATATTTTTGGTAACTAATTAACATACTCTGATTGGAATGTATCGAAATATTGCTCTATCTTTTGGTAATTTATTAACATATTTTGATTGTGATGATTTTAACTTATGATGTTTATTAGCATGATTTTTATAATTTATTGAAATGAATAATCAATCAATAAATGAAAACTTAATATTTTTTAATTTTTTATAATATATTACTACATGTAAGTTGTAAAACAAACTAAAATAAAGTAAAAAAACAAGAAAGACAATTCTGTCATTTAACATTATTGAAATCAAATTCATCTAAAATGTCTGCGAACCAAACAAAATATGAAATTGGATTCCAATTTCATTTTTAGCCAACCAAACAAAATATGGAATTGAACTCTAATTCCTGACATATTCCAATTCCTTCACATATTTCAATTCCTCACATATTCCAATTCCCTCATACATTCTAACAACCAAAATACACCTTAGTTTCTTCAAACGTATTTTTTAACAAACTTTTCTTTCCTTGATTTCTGTTTTAGTTACTATTTCTGTTTCTCGTTTTTCGATTCATTTCTTCTTTCCCGCCTTCCTTTTTCTGCAGGTTCTTAAAAAGGATCCTGTTTTGATGCCATAAATCAAGTAACTTCCATTAATTCATTTAGCCTTTTGCTTTATAGTTCTCCAAACAGGTTTGCAATTATGCCTTCTCTTTTTCCTTTCCCCGAATTCATTGACTGAATGAATTAATAAACATAAATTGATTTTTCTTTTATTATTTTTCAGGAAAATTAGAACTGGAGATACGGAAATTAAATATTAAATTAATAAACAATGTTGGGTGACTTCATTAACAGAATTTTGGTGTAAGTAATATGCCAATGCTCCTGCATTAGTGTTGTTTGCTTGTTAAATTATAATTAAAGAATGGGTAATTTTGATTATCTGGGTTTTGTTAGTACCTGTTTTCCGATGATTTTGTGTTTGCAGGTTGGTTCTTGGATATGCGTATCCAGCATTTGAGTGCTTTAAAACGGTGGAGAAGAACAAAGTTGGGATCGGTGAACTCAGATTTTGGTGCCAATATTGGTATCTGTCTTTTTATTTATTTATGAAGGGGCAAAGGCCATGCTTACGACGTTAAGAATGATGAATGGACACCAACTTGATTTATGGATTAGTTTATTCTAAAATTACAATTTTAATGCATCATTAATCGAGCGATATCTGTTTAGAATTTTTCTTAAATTATTGATGACACACCTTATATAAGAAAGTATTTGAACCCGAATCCTCTAGAAATAATATTTTCTTCTACCACTCAACGAATAAATTCACCATTACAATGAATTGGAATATAGTAAACTTTTCTTAACTTATTGCAGAAATCACACTTCAGATGCTCAAACAACCTTCCGTTATAGCATTTGCATAATTTGTTTAGCTTTTTATGTTAAACTCAATAGTTATGTATGCAATGCATTTTCGCAGGATCCTTATGGCGTTTCTGATAGTTTTTGAATGGACAGGGGAAGTATTCATTTCATGGTATACAGAAACATCTTTCAACCTCCATTGCTTAACATCTCAATTTTGATTTCAGTTCAAAAATCGGTCTTATCGATTCGAGCTCAAACTCAACTCCATTCAATTTTACCATAAAAAATGAACAATCCAAATCCTAAATAAACTGAACCCAAGACGATCCAAGCCGAAAAGAGTCCGAACCTATAACCACCCAAGAGTCCACCCAAAACTAGTGCAACTTGCATAATTGCCAAGTAGAATCTAATTGTTCATGATACTAACATTAGATTTTTAACCATACTGAAGGTTGCCAATGTATGGCGAGATGAAGGTTGGAATGTTAGTGTACCTGTGGTACCCTAAAACGAAGGTAAAAGTGGAATAAAATTTAGGTTTGCTGCAAATGTTGAACTCGTAATGTTTTGAATTTGGATAATGCAGGGAACTGGTTACGTGTATGATACCTTGCTTCGGCCATTCATGGCAAGACACGAAACAGAAGTGGATAGAAAGATTCAAGAGATCAAAGCTAGAATATGGGACTTTATTTTTAAATATTGCCAACATTTCGCAGTAATGGGGCAGGGAAAATTCTTTGAAATGCTTCAATACATGGCAAACCAATCTTTAAAGTTTAAACAAGCCAATCAGGTACTTCTTCAGAAAATGTATTTGCTGATTCATTTTGCATGAACATAATTTGAAACATTTACAATTCAAGTCGTTTGGTCATACCTTTTTTCTGCAGAAATCTGATGATCCATCAACGCCAAATGGTCACCGTGATTCGCCTCGTATGAGATCTCGTCCGGTTCAAACCTGATTGACGGCCGGCGTATAAACCACACAATTAACAATTTCTAATAATAATAATAAAAAAAAAGAAAACTTGTACAATGAAAACCAAAAAAGAAAGAAAAAAAAAAGATAAGAAACCCAGAATTAATTGTTGAAAACCCAGTCTGAAATTCAATTCAGTCAGTTTATTTTTTTTTTTGTAACATAAATTATATTTATATACATATATTTTCGTAATTCGTACGGTTTATATGGTTGATTGAATATTGTGTTCCTTGTTTCTGCGTATGAAAACGCAACCTTTATCTGTTATCTGTTGAAGATGATTCCAATGGATCCGAAGATCCGATCAACGAGTCGGGTCAGACAAGGGACGAGTTTGTGGTTGAAGAACCGGAGGCAGGAAGAGATGGGATTCTGAGATGAAAACCGGAGCCAAAGCTGACGGAAAAGGTGATTACCGGAGGAGTCAGGGGTGGCTGACATGGGCTGAAGGTAAGCCCAAGCGGCCTGTTTTACTAAACGGTTGCGGATCAAGATTTCGTACCCGGAATTTGCGGCGGATCCTGCGGCGGTGGGGGAGTTGATAGCGACGACAGGGGAAGGGAGGATGTCTTTGAGTGAAGTGTAGGAAGCAGAGGAGGCTTTGAGGGAGATGAGTTCGAGGTCAAGAGGCGATGGGGCGGCGCAGCCGTATGGAAGGCTGGTGGCAATTTGGAGAGGCTTTGGAGTCCATAGAGTTAGCTTCGCCGGGACTTGGACGGGGGTTGAGATAGAGTTGTGGCGGCGGAGAGTATATAGCGGCAACTGCCGCAAACCGTCGTCCATAGTCAAAAATACAAAGGAAAAGAGACTGGGAGAGGCTTTTAGACAAATATCGAAAGTTGTTTTAGTTTTTAAACTTTTATGTAAAGCTTTCAGCGGCGGCTGACTATTGGTGACGAAACTGGAGTGAAGTGCAATTTTATTCAATCTCGTGACTCGTGGTGTATTTTATTCATGTGCATGTTTGATTTTGGTTTTTTTTCTTTCTTTTCCATATTTTTGGTACATTGTTCGTTTATTAGTAGGTATATATTAATATGCACCGTTATTTCTTTTATATATGACTGGGTTTTTTAGAAAGAAAATCAAATAGGTACATGAATAGATGGATAAAGTCAATGAATATGGATGAATTATATGGTTTCATATCAACTAACAATAAATATTGTAATAATGCATCAGCCAACATTTTGCAACTAAAGTCAAATTAAGGGAACCACGTAGAAAGAGATTCCCAACCCCACCACCTCTCATCAAACAAACCAAATATACAAGATAATCATTAAGATAATTTCAAGTTATCTCTAAATTTTAAGGTTTTCGGTATTAGATTACCGTCAATAATTATTTCATCATAAGTAAATGCAAAGTCTCGACAATTATTTTTTTTATCTAAATGTCGTCACAAGCTAGATAACTTGAACTTAAATTATAAATATTAATTAACATGTTTTGGGGATCAAGTTGCATAATTTTAAAGAACGAGGATTGTTTTGTAAGCTTGAGGCCAATTTAGGGTCTTGAACCTAAATTTAGCCAACTCCTTTTTAGCAAAAGAAAAAGGGTTAATTAGAAAAAAAGTGTACAAACTATACCATTATTCCTAAATAGGTGCCCTATTTTTTTTCGATTCATCCGGGTATCTAACATTACAAACTTTATTATTTAGGTGTTCGACCGTAACGACCGTTAAATTATGTCGTTAAAAGACACATATCACATTCAAGTAATTTTAAAAATTTCATTTAAAATAAAAAAACTTAAAATTATATTTTTAAAAAACTCAAAAAAGTTTTGAAAATCTTTTAAAATGCCCTAATTTTGAAAACCCTAAATCTAATCCATATTTAGGTGCCTTCTGACTCAGCAGTTGTTGTAGAATCGCCTTGGCAATCCAGTCCCGCATCAGGCACAATAACGACTACAACATCAACAATGTCAAAACATTAGTATATCAATTTGCAACAAAAACATCAAAATCAGCCCAAGTACCTTCAATTCACACCCAATATGCTATTGATGTAAAATATGTTAAAATAAATCTAAATATGATAAAAAGTGCTAAAGAAAAAACTTAACCAAAGTAAAAAAAGTTCTAAATAATAACTCTTTTGGAGAGTTATAACACCCTTAGACCTAAGTGTTTGATTTTCCTCAAGCAACGTATGACAACTACTTGCCCCCCAACATTTAAATAGCATCACTCTTACACTTGGTTTTCACCTGTCACCTCAGAACCTTAACAATTTTATGCAAATCACCTTTAAATCTCAAGACAACAAGAAATCAACTCAAATCAACTTATAATTCTTATGCATGTGTGTGCTTGTAATCGTGATAATTCACCACCATGGGTATTTGTAGAGAATATCATAATTATCAAATTAATTAATAAAGAAAAAATATCACAACAATTACTATTTAGCTTAATTAGAGCTTCAACTAATCACAACTACCTATTAGTACTTGAGTAGTAAGATATGTCATCAACGGACCTCCTAGCCTTTTAGGTATAGTCATCCCGTGAAGACTTTCATTCACCCATGATATTCAAGACTATTTTCCTACTTAGTATTCACTAAGTGTACCAGACTTGCCTTAGCAGCATAGTATCCTAGAGCTAAAAGATTGTTGTGAACAATTTATTCGGTTAGAGCCAGTTCGACACCTCTAGTAATTCACACAGAACATAGAATTTTTTTTTGGATAAAAAATAAAAGATAATTAAATATTCTCTAAAATACCAAAGGTAAACTAAGCACGAAATTCGGTAAATAATTATAGCATCACAAGAATCGTTAACAAAATCTCAAGTTATCTATAAATTCTAAGGTTCTCGGCATTAGATTGCTATCAATAATTATCTCATTACATGTAAATGCAAGTCTCAAAATTTGTTTACTTATGTAAATGTCATGGCAAGCTAGATGTCATGGAAAACCTTGAATGAACAACACAAACATGAACATGAAAAACACACATAAGAATGAGAAACATAAACAAACAACACGCCCCCAAACATGAGATTTGCATTTCCCTCAATGCATGTAAAATATGGGAGAAGAGACAACAATACTCCCCTAATGTTGTTGAAGATGTTGTGTAGCAATAGCTTTGAGGATGTACTACTAACACTACAATAATGACAGTATGAAATGCAAGAAGATGTTGGGTAGTAAAGATTGTTTGTAACTCCAGCTGATGTTGTGAAGTAAAGGTAGCATATGGGGACTGCAACATATGGGGACTGTAGCATATGGGGACTGATGGTGTGATGATCGATGTAAGAACACTACTTAAAAAAACACGTAAAATGAAATAAAGAAAAAATAAAAAGTAAAAACTTATCTAATGTAAAAATTGACTTATTAATAGCAATAAAGAGAATACGATAAAGAAATTTCGCTTAGCGAAATGGAAGCAACGCTGTGAGGTAGTTCGCCGCAATAATGCTTCAAACGTTGGCCATTAACTTTGAACATGCTTCCATTTTTCAAATTCTTGATTAATATTGCACAATGAGAAAATGTTTCAGATACTTTAAAAGGTATAGACCACCTAGATTTCAACTTTCCTGGGAATAGCTTCTATCTCGAATTGAACAACAATACTTGTTATCCAGCATGGAATTGTCGTAGCATTATGTGCTTGTCATGTCATTCTCTTGCATTTGTCTTTGTAAATCTTCACATTCTCATAGGAATTGTTACAAAGTTCTTCTAACTTATTCAATTCAAACAATTTGTTTTGTCCCACAGCATCAAGGTTAAAATTCAATTTCTTAAGTCCTCAAATTGCCTTGTTCTCTAACTCCACTGGCAAATGATATGCTTTCCTATAGACTAAATGGAATGGAGACATAACCAGTGGGGTTTTGTATGTTGTACGTTATGCTCATATTTCTTCGTCTAATCGTAAAGACTAATCCTTCATAGATGGGTTACAACCTTCTTTAAAATTTGCTTGATTTCATGGTTTGAGACCTCGTCTTATCCGTTAGACTAAGGATAGTATGTTGTAGAAATAGGATGCTTCACTCCATACCACAACAAAACATTAGCAATTTTATTACATTTAAAACGGGATCTCTCGTCACTAATAAAAGCTCTCGATGTTCCAAAGCGAGTAAAAAATTTCTTGTGAATAAACTTAAGACTGACTTAGCATCATTAGTAGATAATGTTACAACTTCAACCCATTTTGAGACATAGTTCACAGCAACAAGAATATAGACATTATCAAATTATGATGGGTAGGGTCCCATGAAGTTTAATACCCAAACGTCAAACAACTCAATTTCCAATATTGGTTATGTTGGCATTTCGTTATGGTGAGAAATGATGCCAGTACGCTAACAGAGATCACAATTCTTGACAAATTCATTAGCATCTTTAAACAGATTTGTCCAAAACAAACCACATTAAAAGACTTTGGCAGCAGTGCACATCCCTCAAAAGTGACCACCATAGGGCGTATTGTGACATTGGTGTAGGATGCTATTTGTTTCGCTATCTAGAATGCATCATTCACAATTTGATCATTGTATTGTTTGAACAAATAATGCTCATATGGGTGATAGAACTTCACATCTCTAAAAAATTTATTCCTCCCTTGGTGATCTAGGTCTGGTGGCAGTAATCTATTCACCAAGTAATTTAGAATGTCTACATACCAAAGCAAAGTTTTGACAGTAAGAAGTCTTTCATCTGGAAAATTGTTAGTAATCAACAATTTACTTCTAACTTCACTTCTAAATTCTAAACAAGACAAGTGGTCAGTCACTTGATTTTCGGAGCCTTTTTATCTTTAATCTAAATGCCAAACTCTTGTAGAAGCAACACCTATCGCATTGATCGCTTGTAAATGTATATGCTAAGGCAAGAAATTATGTGCAAGTATACACAATCGAATCAAGTAATATATGGTAAGTGAGTTATCATCTCCTCAGGGATTGGTCTAAAATTTTAACCTTTACCACAACTAGTTGTCACAAGCTAATTCCTACTATCTTGTCAAACTACAAAGCTAATATTAATAAAACAAGAAAAATACTATAATGTATGATTACAAAAAATATTGGTCGAGACAAAATAAATATCCAGACTATAAAACAAAACAAAACAAAAACATCTGTTGATTTAAACATAATTCAAACAACCTCGCATATTCAGACTTACCACAGAACACTTATGCTAATATTTTGCATTGACAACAATTATTCTAAGTCTAGAATGAATTATTATGACTTGCTTAAGCTACCCGACAGGATTACTAAGTATTCTTAGACGGTTTCTATGGCAATACTACTCAGCATTAACTACAACCCTTAGTTTGTCAGGCTGTTGTTGTAGTAATACCTCTCAGCGTAAACTATAGTCGTTGTCTATCCTACTCTAGCATATCCCTTTTAGTCGATTGAAACCCACTCCTTATCTATAAGGTAGACAAGTTAGAACATCACCATCTCGGATCCATTCCATTGCTCACGTAGATCTATCTTAATTCCCTCGAATCTAAGAATCAATATCTAGGCAAAAGGCGATCTCTCGATGCTCTTACATTGCCAAGACATGTTTTACCACGACCTCAGGCAATCTCTCGAAGCTTTTACAGTGTTAAGGTAAAATATTCAAACAACGAACAAATCAGTCATGAGAAAAATCATAATTCATCATTAATAAAGTAGAAAATAATTGTTTAGGCAAAACAAAGACTAACACCAAGTAAGACAATCATGGTGCTATAAAAAATTCATCCAAGTATCATCGTTTAATATAACCCCAAACATATAAATAATTTAAGACTAGGGAGTTCCATCATAACCTTAAAATATTTTCAATGTCTCGGCAAGCAAAAAGTTATTTCCTAAAAATTTTACTAATTACCTTAAGCAATGACA